AACTAAAAAAAAATAAAAAATTAAAGCACACCACTAACAGTTTTATTAAAAAAAAAAGAAAAAAAAACTTATTGAAAGTTGAGCAGAAATAGTGGAGGCGAAGAAGACAACCCAGATCTTCACGTGTACTTTGGACCTCGAGCTAAATGAAGCTTGGCAAATCGTGAATCACACTGTACCAAAAGCACAGACACAGAGAAAAATGCAATTTTTTTTTAAAGTTATGTACTTATTTTGCTAAGTGGAGAGAAAGAGTAGTGAAAATTTTCTACAGTTTGCCAAACAAAGAATTCAGAGAAGAAAAAAAATTGTTCTTTCAAGGAAAGCAAAAACACGAAGAACGAAATCATAGAAATGAAATGGAAAAAAGGAAAGAAAATTAAAACCTTGTCATTGAGCCACATCCGATCGTGATCAAAGAAAGGCTGACGGCGACGGTAGTATTGGTGCAGAGGTAAGGATCGGGGACGACGGAGGAGAGAAAATCGCTCGAGAGGCAGAAAGAGAAAAAAAACAAAGAGAAAAACCCAGAGCTTCTACGATGAACCTTTGATTTAAGCCAAACAATCAAAGAAAGCGTAAGAGGGAGAAGAAAAGCCCAGAAGCCTCAGAGTAGCATTTCCGTAAGAATCCACCACCGACAAAAAGAGAGACGAAGCATAAAAGCTTTAGTGGCAAAAAAAAATGGAACAAAATGTGAGAGAAGAAAAGGCTCCAGGAAAAGGAATAGCAAAGGTCAGACATTGAAAACGGTAAAAGAAAGAGGATCAAATCAAATTACTAAAATGCCCAGAAAAAAACACAGAAGCAAAATAAAACCGAGGCTAAAACAATACTTAAAAGGACGCAGACGGTATATAAAATGCTTGAACAGAAAGAAACAGAGGCAAAATCAGAAAGTCACTATTCTTAGAATAGTAACTTTGGTACCTCCTTTAGTAGTATGTATAATTTGTAGTCAAAATTATGACCATAGTTTTTTTCCCCTTATCTGTTATAATTTATGATCATAATTGTTTCTAGTAAGTAAAAATTATTATTTTTTATTTATTAAAACCCCCTTTTTGATAGTAATAAGGATATTAGAAAGGTCTTTGGTCTAACGGTGCACTTTTTGTTGGACTTATTAGACAATGATCGTCAACCGTCCTTTAAAAATAGATGGCTAGATTTTGTGTAGGGTAGTGAAAAAGAAGGCCTAGGTGTATAGGTTCCTGGAATAAAGCGCAATAAAAGGATAAAACCATTTTAAGGAACCCCTAATTAAATCTTGGTCTGTAACTTTTTGGGTAACAATTAGTCTGCAATGGTTTATGTAACCCATGTCCATACGTGACCGGATTTGTAATATTGCACTTGTTTTGGGAACTCAGTTTTTTTAATGTACAGGTCTTTGGGGCAATAGATTACTCATATGCGAATATAGGCCGTACTCGTAATGGTTTTTTCTTTTGTTATCTTGGCATATTTTACATCAACTATTACCACTTCTCACCACTCCACCCTATCATTTTATTTTTCTTCAATAGGCAATGTTGTTTTGTGATTTCTGGTGCATATTCATGTTGCATATATCGCTGCCTGTTTTTTTCCTTCCAAGCGCCTTTGACGAATTTTTTATGTGCGTATTATGGTTTACAAGTTTTACAAGTTTACATATCAAATTTCCTTTATAGTTCTTGCTATGGATTCAACATTTTGACCCGTGTTGCATACTTGGACAATTATTCCACAGCCATATTGTTTCACTCATGACAGTAGTACCACAAACTTGTTTCATAATCCAATGATTAAGCAGTTTTAACGATGTTACAAACTTCAACTACTGTTACTACATATTTCATATACAAGGAAAGGAAATATACACTCTTTACACACTCACAATTTACTATTCATTGCACTCACAATTTACTATTTATTGCACAGTAATATTCTTAAAATTCTGCTTTTGTCCCTTGTCTTTTGAGTGTTAATTGTCAATTTTATCCTTTTTTTCTTCTTTTTTGCCTTCCATACATGGGCTTTTGCGTCTTTCGTTCTAGGATTGCCACGTGTCAATGCCCGGCTGGCCGAAGGAAAAAAGCGTGGCCCACCACTACGAAGCAGCCCTCTTCCCCCCACTGAACGCGTTTCTCTTGCATGTGAAAAACGCGCAAATCACAGCCATTGAAATTTTTAATCGGACAGTTTTAAACCATTTCCGGTTTATTTTTTAGATTTTTATTCTTTATTATAGTTATTTACTATTTTGAATTGATTTGGAGTTCAATTTCGTTCGTTTTACCACTGTTTTGTGCCAAATTTTTTATATTACTTCAAAAAAAATACCATAAATAATACAATAAAATTAAATAAAAATACGCTAAATTAAAATCAAATAACACCAAATTAAATAAATAAACAAAACAAAATAGAATTAATTTAAAATACAACGAAGTAAGTTAGATTATTTTCCCTCTCTCTTTGCTTAAGCTTTTCCTCCTTTATTATTTTTATTTCTTTTATGTCGTATTTTTACTTCTTTTTTTAAAAAAACAATTTGTGTTAGCTGTTATTTTAAATTAATCATGTGTGCGTAGCTCGCATTTGAGACTAAAACTAAACAAAGACTAAAAAAGAAAAACATTGAAAAAGAAAGGTGTTGATTTGCGGTCTAATTTTATCCATTTTAATATCATTTTATACCAAATTTTCAAAGCCTCTCAAATGATAAGTATAAATAATTTGAATGAAAAATAAAATAAAATAAAAATACACTAAAATAAAATAAAGTCGCACCTTTTTAAATAAATTAAACTAGAAATTACTTCAGTGGTTGGAAGAGCAGCATAAGCATTGATTAAAAAAACATTCTCTACATTAACAATTGATGAACATTGATGAGAGCTTTACTGATCCATTTGTAATTCCACCAATCATTACTCAGTTAAAAGGACAAACAAAAATCTTGCAAGTTTATTTTCAATAAAATGGAGCACAAATAACTACAATTGTTTCAAAAATATTTTAAGATGTCAATCTTTCAATACCACTACCACAAATATCAGCTGCCATAACAATAGATCCAAAAACACCAAATTCAAAAGGATTGACCATAAGGTAAGACATATTTACTAATTTATATCAATGATCAACAAAAATCAACATTTACTATTTTGAATACATAACTTAACAATCTTTAATCAGTTCAGTTCTGAATCAAAGGCAACACAGAAACACCCAAGAATCATATTATATAATTACTTCTAAATTCTTTGATCTACACTACATATAATTAAAGATTTTCAACTTTCTTAATTATTGTTATTAATTTTTTTTAAATTTGTATTTTGTAGTTAAAAAGACCAAAAAAAAAAAAGAAAGAAAAACTATAATACATTATAAGAAACTTTTAACTCTATATAGATGCATATATAAACTAATCCTGTCTTATAAAAAATTACTACACTAGTTGGCCCAAATTTTTTACTTTATCGTTTGGATTGGCGCTTTTTTATTTGGCCAAAAAGACAATGCCTAAAATATTATTCAATCATAAGTTTCGTCTACAAATATGAATCAAATTTCAAAAATTCAAAAATTACACAAATTAATTTTGGAAACACAGATTATTTCGATACACAAACCAATTCACACAAAATCAAATTGATTTTTTAAACATAAATTCAAAAGAAAAAAATTAATCTTTGTTCAAAGAGAAGGAAACTTTTGGCGCGCTTAGAACTCGTTCTAAAATGATTTATTTTTTGTATGAAAATGAAAACGAAAATGTTTTCAATCTTAGATAGAAATCATTTTTAAAAATGTGTTTGGTAGTTTTATCAATAGATTATTTTCAGTATAAAAAAACTCATTAATATCTCTCTCTCTGCTTGAGAGAAGAGACAACGAAAATAAAAAAAATGAAAAAAGACTAAAAGTCATTTTTCATTTCTCTCTTATTTTATATTAAACTAAAAAATCGTTTTCATTTTAATTTTTTTATCTTTATTGCGCTAAACACCGTTTTAAAAACGTCTTTATTTTTTTTTCAAAAAAACGTAAAAAATAAAAACAGAATCAATTCCAAACAAGTGTGGTCTTGTTGTCCGTGAGCGTTAGAGGGGGTGATGGCGGTCCTCGGTGCTGATGGGCTTGAGCACAGGGGAAGATCAAAATAACGTGTAAGATTTCGTTGTGTATTGAAATTATGTTTTGTAAATTAGTTTTATTTGTTTTTTGTTTTTATGAAATTTGACTACATTAGCTTTGAGGTAAGTGATTATTAAACACATTCGTTTAGAGTGATCCTTATAAAGAATGGATCTTTCTCTCTTCGCTTAGCCATATGACCAATCTGGTGAAAGCATTAAAACATCATCGTACAAGTCAAAATTAAGGGAGGGTTTCGGTGGCAATAAAAAATACAGTGAAATAAGAGAGAATGGACGACGGTGATACAGTATTTGGCGTGAAAAAGAACCAACATATTTGGAGGACGGTGGCGTAGGATCCAATATTGGATGAACCAGTCTGACAAGTCCAAATCCAATGAAAGAAATAGAATTTATTTTATTGAAACTCTAATTTTTTTATTTGAATTTAATTTCTTAGTCCCTTATATTCCAATAATGTTTAAACATTGATTATTAAGTGCATTTATGACATTTCCAATAATTAGACTAGGGTTTATTTATTTATTTTTTATTAACTATGGATCAAACAAGTTAAAAGGGTTATATATTTAACTCCTTTAAAATGTTAAAGGATAATTTTAAAATAACTTTTAAGGGTCTTGTTTATTATTTAAATTTTTATAATTAAATTTTTTAAAAAAATATCACATTTAATTTTTATTATTATAATTAAAAAATTTTAAAAAATATTACACCTCAACTCAATATACTTTTCGAACAGGCAAAAAAAAAAAAAAAAACACGGAAAATATGTAATTTGAGGTAAAGTTCAGGGATACTATTGTGAGGGTTTGTACATTCTTCCTTCTCATATCATATCCCCCGTGGCGCGCGATCTGTCTCCGCTGATCCAATGGCGGCATCGTCTTCCTCAGCGTCCTCCGACTCATACGATTCGTCGTCTTCTTCCTCTTACCGCCGGCATCGTCGCCACCGCCGCAGCCGCCGGGACAAAGACAAAGACAGAGACAGAGACAGAGACGGAGATTCTCTCAAGGTTAGGCAGAGGAGCTCGCGCTCACATACCAAACGACGTCGTAGGCGCCACCACCATTCCTCTGCTTCCTCTGATTCCTCCTCCGATTCCGATTACTCCAGGTGCTTCGCTTTTCTCATCAATAAAAAGCAGATCCCTTTTTTTTTTTTGTTGCTTCAATTTCTCAGTGCCCTATGTGTTTGGCTGTGTCAATTTTTTGTTTAAATTTTACGGTTTTTTTGGATAAGGTTAAATGCGGTGTTGAATTTTTGAGGGAACGATTGAGATTTGATTATCTTTTGGTTCAAAGTTGAAAGCTCTTTGGCTTGCCCTTGCTTTTCTTTCTTTGGTTAAACGAGATTTTTCAATAAGGTATTCTATAGATAGATGATATTGAATCTTAAAGTTTCTTCTTTTGTTTGTTTTTTGTAGAATACACTCTTAATGATTCATCTGAGGAAAATAACCTTTTAGTTCCAATATTACGCACTTCCTTTAATCCTTTTGAAGGATAATATAATATTATGCAAGGTCTTTCATATTAATTTCTTCATTATCAGGGTTTGCCTATATTATTCTCCATTTTGTGTTTGCTTCTTATAATATATTCGATTCGATTTTTAATTGGAGGTCACCATTAGGAGGTTAGTGGTATATGGTAAGTGCAAATTTCGAATTGTTCAGCATGTGTGATTACCCTGTATTGTTAAGTTATGTAAGTGTGTGCTTACTTATGATTGTAATAATGGAAAATGCAAATCCTGAAGTCTAGTGGCATCGGGGGGTTTAGGTGGGATGGGATATGAGGAAGGTTGCAGGTTCTATCCCGTGTTTTATTAAGGGAAAAAAAAAACATGAAAGAGTATGTTTGGTAGGAGGGGGAGATGGAGGGATGGAGAGGGGTGGAGGGAGAGGTCTAATCTCTCGTTTTGTTGGAGGGAGAGGATGAGGGAGAGGAGAGGTGGAGGGGTGTGCTCTCCTTCATGGTCCACCAAATTGGATCCTTCCATCAAGAAAAGGATCTAAGCAATCTGTCCACTTTTAGTTTTAAAAGACTATTTTACCCTCTGATTAAATTATTAATAGGGTTTATTGGCACGAATGGTCCGCAACCTATTTAGTAAGTGACAGTTTGGTCCCCAACCTTTTTTTTTGGGCAAATCAACCCCCAACCATTTAAAACAGGTGTAATCTAGTCCTTTTCGTCTAGATCCGTCCAAAAGCTAACGGGAGAAGCCCACATGACCCCTTAACTTGGGGTGTATGTGTAAAAACACATCGTTGGTTGATTTGGGGGTGGTTTTTAGGTAGAAGAAAGATAATTTGGGGTTGAAATTGGGGTTCCCACCATCTCCGGTTAGATTTCCGGCCTCGTCTCGGATTTTGCCTTTCGGTCCCATTGGAGCCCAAGCGTAGAGTATGTCCAACGACCACTGGCAATTCCGAAGCAGGAAGCTTTTGGTGTTGGGACTGATCCAGTTCTTCTCATCGTAAACCATCTCGTTCCAACCGTGCATTACGAAGTTGTGATCTTTATACCTCTCCCATGGAACCTCAAACGCCATGTCCGTGAAGATCGCGTCATTGTCCATCCACTAGAGGAACTCAATCTCCGGATGTGAGAGCAGAAGCTTGCGAATCAACGGAAGCTTAGCTTAAAACCTCTCCATTTTCGCGTCGAGAAGCGCCATGTTGTAGAAGATCTCGATCCCGTGGAACCGGAAGTAATCGATTTTGTTCTTAATCAATTTGAGAAGGTAATGATCTCCAACGGGATTCTTGCATGGCTTCAGCGAAGAATCGGTGACGAGGAGAACCCTAGGCTTGTTCGGCGCGAGGAAATTGGGGAAATCCGGGTAGCCACTCCCATCTCTGCTCGTCCCAATCAGAGATTCTCGGGCCGAGAGTGTAGGGCTTGTTGGGATAGTTCCGACCATTTCCGGTTAGATTTCTGGCAATTTCGTCTTTGGTCACCGGAAGAGTTCAAGTGGGCAATTTCATCTTTCCACCAAAAATCTGGGTCACGTGGGTGCTCACATGGGCTTCTCCCGTTAGCCTTTGGACGGATCTTGACGGAAATGACCAGATTGTACCTGTTTTAAACGGTTGGGAGTTGATTTGCCAAAAAAAAAAGGTTGGCGACCAAACTGTCACTTACTAAATAGGTTAGGGACCATTTGTGTCAATAATCCTTATTAATAAAAAGTTTGAACGAACAATATAGTAATTTAACAAAAAATTGTCATCTATCATTTCAATTTTCCCTCCATCTTACCAAACAGCATGAAGATTTGCTACAATCCTCTCCATCCTTCCTACTCCCCGTCCATCAAACTCTCTCAATCCTTCCTACTCTGCATCCCTCCAAACAAACGGAGCGGAAAAGTACAAATCCTGAAGTCTTGGCATTACAAGTGGGCTTCTTTAGATTTGGGTGGTTATAACGTGTGCAGGAAGTAGACTTAAAGCAATGGTAGCACTAGGAAACATCTAGCGTCTTTGTGGGCTTCTTGCCTTCCCTAGTTCCACTGATAAAGCTTTTGAAGAGTTTTCTTCTTCAATTTGGAAACAAAGGTGTAATCGGGCGGGCTTGAAGTCGATTTGTTTCTTTGTCCTTGGGTCTTATGGTGTTACTTTTGTTTTCCTCACCTTGAGGACTCTTATTCTCTTTGATTGTGATTTTCAGTTTCTTACACCCTCCCACGATTGTTCTTTTTTGTCTCAAGCCAAAGTTTGTGCAATATGTTAACCTGGCTTAATGTTGAATTTTCAAACATAAATCTTCAAGGGAAACAAGTAGATGAGACATGAGGAGGTTTTCATGGTGAGTTTTATGTTGTACTTACCTCTAGTGACCTTGGAATGCCCGCTTTCTTTGATAAAATCAGGTGGGTGAGCTGCACTTCTCTCAAACAGGAGTAAACTGCGGGCAAGATTTGGTTACTTTTGTGATGGACACACTACGTTACTTGCCTTTGTCTTCCATTATTTGCTGGGAAATGTTTAGACTACATAGAATAGTTTTTTTAGAAAGTTGGAGCCATTATTGTTAATTTCAATTTTTTGAAGGAAAGCTGGATGCATATTTTTGTGTGTCATAACATCTGGTGTCTACTGCTTATTTGCAGTGAAAGTTCTGACAGTGAGCCTGAAACATCTACTCATTCTAAGAAGCACAAGAAGAATGACAGACAAATAAAGGTTGGGGGCCGTCTTTTTTAAACTAGAGGCTACATTTTTGTGGTTTTTTTTTTTTTTGGTTGATTTTCCTCCATCCCTTTTGCCTTGTAGAGCAAGGATAAGGAGCGCAGCAAGAGTCATCGCCATAAACGACATAAGCATAAAGCTAAAGAGGTAAGCTCGTGTTCTCTCTGTAGTTCTGTGAGCTCTCGCCTCCATATGATAAATTAGCTGCATATTTGTGCTAAGAGTTTTTCTCGATAATTTTCTGCTCAAACTATGGGCCAACTATAAAATAAGCAAATTGCAAGCTACATTGTCCTAACTTGTATCACGTTACTTCCCTTTTTCCTATTGTTTGGTATGCGGGGTAGAATTTCCCCGTTTCGACTGGAGCCTGTAGGAACAGTCTGTTTTTACTTCTTTTGCTTGCATAGATAACAAAGTAATTTGTCAGCAACACAGACAAAGACAAGCATACATGTCACTGGTATTCAAAATATTAAACGTTAATCTCGTTAGTAGTGTTCATCAAATTTCTGAGATGCTTATAGTACTTTTTGCCTGTTTTATGGATTGGCTCTTTGAAATTGGAGCTGGGGTCTGTGACATGATGATGGGCTCAACTGACTTGCCTGGATTATGTTTCTGGGTTGGGATTGTCCTGGCAATGGGATATTTATTTAGAAGGAGCGGGATGAAAGATGTAGCAGCCCTGTACAGCTTTCAAAGGTTGCCAATGTTCCCTTGTTTATTTTGTTTCACTATCTTTTCTTTGGGTTTTTGCTTACAAATTTTTGCTTCACACAGTTTTTAGGGCGTGATAAAGATGATGGTGTCCGTCGAAGTGCTGTCTCCGGCAAAAAGGTACTCCCCCCTCCCTTCCTCATTAAAGTTGTCGTTTTTGGGTTGGGAGAATTAGAATACAAGATGCTTAAAGTTTTCTGCTTCTGGTGGTAGATTTTATTAAAACTCGAGAAGACGAAAGAGGACAAGGCGGCAGAAAACAATAGAAATGAATTGCTGAAGTTCTTGAATGCTAGTTTCGATTGAGTTTTTCCATGATTCCTTTATCCAAAGGAAGTTTTGAAGTGTTCAATGAAGTACTCGAGTTAGCTGCTGCTGTGCTTGTCCTAAATCTCCAAGGATACCGGACAGCAAAGAATGGACTAGCATTTATATCTTTGTATTTTTATCACGGATGATAAATGGAAACCCTTGTTAAATTAAATTTGTGAGCTTTTATCGGAACCTTCATTTTGGAGGTTCTCATCTAGTTGTGTCAAAATCAATCCTTCCATTATATATTCAACTTCTTTGAGGAAGATTGACCATTAGTTTTTCAATTTGGAAATTGGATTTAATTTCATTGCAAATAGCAGACAGTATTTTTTCTGTGCGCACATTTATTCGTTGGTCTTATAGCAACAGCCGGCACAAAGTACTTAGCAAGGTATGCTATTTGAAATGCTGTTATCCAGAAAAATGTTCAACCCATCATGCCGTGCTCATAATTTATTCCTAAACGAAATTGTACCGCATTTGATAAATCTGGCACTAAGCGTCCGTTTAACAAAGTTTTTGTTTTTAAAAGAGAAGTAAAAACTGTGGTTTTTATTTAAAACAAAGAGCTTAATAGGTCAATAATTTTTAAATTTATTAATAAGTAATAAAAGTGTTAGAATTAAGTTTATAAATGTCTTAATTAAATTTCGGTATAAGTTTCAAAGTCTATTAAAAAGTTTTTTTTTAAGCCATAATTTTTTATTTTGATTGAAAGTTCTTCTGAAAAGTCAAAATACTTCTTTAGAAGCAACTTTTGAACTTAAGAAGCTAAACTTTTAAGAAGCTCTTCCAAACATGCCTCCAGTTTTATATTTTTTTTTAGTCGGTAGAAGGAGATAATTAAAAACTGTGGCTTTTATTTGAAACAAAGAGCTTAATAGGTTAATGATTTTTAAATTTTCTAATAAGTTATAAAAGTGTTGGAATTAAGTTTATAAATGTATTAATTAAACTTCGGTATAAGTTTCAAAAGCCTCGTTCACTTCGTGGATTCGAGTTTTTAATTCGAGTTGAGATGTGATATTTTTTTTAGAGCTTTTCACTGTAGCAGAAAAGTTAGATGTGACATTTTCTGAGAGCCTTTTACTGTAAAAATCTAAAACTAAAAACTCAAATCAGTGAAATGAATGAGGCTAAGTCTATTTAGAAGTTTTTTTTTAAGCCACAATTTTTGATTTTTACTAAAAACTATTCTAAAAAGTCAAAGTACTTCTGACAGATCAGTAAAACGCTTCCAGAAACTGCTTTTGAACTTAAGAAGCTAAAAGTACTTTTAAAAAGTTCTTCCAAACATGCCTTAAATTTCATTTATTAGTGACAGATCTTATATGGCATAAATAATAACAAAAAATACTATAAAATAATAAATAAATATCGTCATCAAATATGACAAAATCTAAAAGTTAAAAGTTACTTTTTAATAAACGAAACTTATATTTATTTTACTGTCGGTAATAAATAGGTTTTTTTTACGGTGAGACTTCTTAAAAAATTTACTAGTGGAATACTCTATTTTGACTATTAAATTATTTTTTAATGGTCAAATTTTTGGAGGGGACAGTTTTGTGAAGCATACTGTAAATTTTTAATACGGACTTATACAAATTTAACCATTAAAAATTTAACCTAACAGTCAAAATAAAGTGTTGCACTAAATTTTTTTTTTTTTTTTAAAGAATCTTACAATAGGGACTCCCTGCAAACATCTATAAAAATAAAAAATAATAATTGCAAATATAAAGAGTATTAATAAGACCTGCAAATGGGATTCATGTGATGATAAGACCTGCAAATGGGATTATGTGATAGATATCATTTTTATGATTCTAATGATGTAGTTGAAGTTTGTAACCTTTCTTTAAAAAAAAAAAAAAAGAAAAAAAGAAAAAAAAAATTTACGTTCCGGGGGCATTATCGTAATTCGACTTACAACTCCAGAAGCCAATCTTTGGACCCACTTATATAAAGGGCCTTTCAAAACTAGGGTTTTAATCACCCTCCTTCAACCTCAGATTTGCAATGTAGGAGCTGTATCTCACCACAGAATGAATATTGATTCCGTCTTCTCTTTTAGGCTTTAAGTTCTTTTTCTTTTAAAATAATTTCTTGTGGATTTGATTAATAATCGCACATAGTTCTTCTTGGGAGCCAAGTTCTATTGAGAAGAAAATGGCTTCTAGGATTTTATCTGTGCGTAAAACAAAATCATTTGATCCTTTCTGCTTGAGCCTTCTCCTTTTCAAATCCATGGAGATGCGCTCCAATGTTATTGGATTACATTTTCGTCATTCAAGATTCCATTTTTTTTTTCATTTGTCTCCTGTTTTTGATTTTCTTGCTCGATGAAATTTCTTTATTTATTTATTTTTTTGAGAAAAATAAAGCACATAATCTTAAAGAAAAACAACCGACAAATAAAAGACAGAGAGAGATAGTCAGGTTGATGAGATGAAATTTCGCTCATTTCATTCTATTGTGAATTGCTCAATCTGCCCTTTTTCTTTTCCTTGTTCTCCTTTCCTGGTCATTCTTTCCTGGCCACTCCTCTTTGGTGGAAATTCTAGCTTTGATTCTCTACTTTATTATGGCTCTGCATTGTGATTTTGTGTGGGTTTTCCGTCGTGGTTTTGGTGGCGGCTTTCTCTGTTCCTTTTGGCTGCTATGCTGTTGTTTTGGTCTGAGTTTGTGGTATGCTTTCCTTGGTGCTTTTAACAGAGTGCAAACTCTGTGGTTTGCGGTTTTTTTAACCCCTTTTTTTAAAGTTTTTGGTCCCCGTTTGTCTTCCTTTTTTTTTGGTATGTGCTCGATTTGTTTAAATTTTTTAAAATTGTTATTTTTGGGTCTGGGTTTTGCGTTTCGTTTTTGCTGTGTTTTTTATAATTAAAGATTTCTAAATCCTTTTATTTACATTACATATAATGTAGAAGATGGTTATAAAACATGTAATGCAAACAATTCAGATAACGGAAGGACAAGAAAAAGATTTCCGAGGATTTTATTGCTATCAACTGCAACAAAATGAAATGCAAGGAAATACTCTTTTTAAAGGCGGTAGATTATTTTAGTAATACGTAGTTGATACATATGCTTTGTAGAAAAAGATTGTTTGGACTATATTAGAAAAAAAAAATTAAGATTTGAAATTTATCAATAAATTTAAGATGCTATTATTAGAGATAAAAACGCACAAGTAATAAAAAAAATTATCTTTCCTTTCAGTCACACATGAAGTTCAAGATATATGATTTAAATTATTAAGGGATGTTTGGTTTATAGATTTAGAATTATTTTTATTTTATGTGTATTTTTTATGAGAGAAAATACTGTAGCGAGTTACGAACCATAATTCGAATTATGGTACGAATCTTCTTTCTAAACGTCCCTTAAGATGCAATGGCAATTTGTTGGTACTATAGAAATCCATATTTATTCATAATGTTCATATGCAATCTAAAATGGCTTAAAATTATTAGAGCTCTAACAAAAATACCAAGTTAAAAACTTAAAGATAGATCATATATTATTATAAGGATTTTTAAAATGAAATTAGATCATGTTTTATCGATTATCAAAAATAAAAAGATATTCATATCAATCATAGCATGTTAGTTTATTTTTTCAAAATTTATTTCACTTTATCAATAAAAATATTATTTTTTACCTTTTATATTTAATAAAAACTATTTTTTTAAAATTTTGAAAACTTATACGTGGTTGAATTCCAGAAATGAGGATTGCCACATTGTCATTTCCTATTTTGGCTACACCCTAATAAAAAACTATGTGAACCATTACAAATAAATAAATTCATCTTTGCATAAATACTTAATCCTAACAATAATCCATTATAATATAACGTTGTAGCTGAGTTTATGATGCATGGACCATGTGGAATTGCTAAAACAAATGCTCTGTGCATAAAAAATTCAGAATGCTAAAAAAAAAATTCCCAAAACAATTAAGATATGAAACAACTATTAAAAAAAATGGATTTGTCAATTACAAAAGAAGAAATACATTCTTTTATGTCGAAAAAGAAGGTATCAAATTAGACAATAAATTTGTAATCCCTTACATCAATGTAGAAATTTGTTCTCAATCCATACTTATAAAATTTCTATTTAAATACTTAACAAAAGGACCAGATAAAATAAGGGCAGTCATAGAAGATAACATATGTACAGAAAAATATGGAGAAACTACTTATCAAGAAGAAGATGAAATAAAAAATTATATTAATTGCAGATATATAACACCATACGAAGTAATGTATGTGACGATTATATGAATATTCTATACATCACAGAAATCCAGCTATTCAACGACTGTCAATACATTTACCAAAAATTCAAAACATAACATTTCACTCAAATCAACAACTTAATAACATAATAAGACAACTAGATATTCATAAAACAACTCTTATTAAATGGATGAAAACTAACAAATACAACATCAATGACAGAGAACTAACTTACATCGAATTTCTAAGTAAATATGTTTGGAATAACAAATATAAATATTGGTCATCTAGACAAGCATGCCATATAATCAGACAAATTTTTCGTGTGCATCCAAGTTTTGGAGAATTATACTGTTTAAAATTATTACTAAATCATCGAAAAGGAATAACAAGTTATGAAGTTCTTCAGACAATTGATAACATAACATATCCAACAAACTAAGAAGCATGCTATGCACTTGGCGTACTAGGATTCAATAACCCAAAATTTTCAAATACATGAAATTGAATTATACAATTTTGTATTTTATGAACTAGAAAAATTATTAAATCTAAATTCGTCAACTTTAACACATTATAATTTACCTCTTCCTATTGGATCGCTAATAGATGATCTAAATAATAAACTCCTAAGAGAAGAGCTCAATTATGATATAAATAAATTAAAAGATGAAAATTTTATATTAGTACAAAATTTAAATAATGAACAACAGTTTTTTTATGAACAAATTTTAAAATCACTTAATGATGGAAAAGACAAAATCACTTAATGATGGAAAAGACAATCTTTTTCCATCTATAGTCATGGTGGAACTGGAGAAATATATTTATGGAATGCAATCATCACAAAAATCAGATCAAATAATGAAATAACCCTTACTGTTGCATCTTCCGGAATAGCATCGTTATTATTATTTAAAGGAAGAACTGGACACTATAGATTTTTGAATACCACTATCCACAGATAAATTTTCTACCTGTCATATCAAAAAAGGAACTTAACTAGCAAAATTAATCGAAAAAACATCACTCATATTATGAGATGAAGCACCTATGACTAATAAATATTGCTTTGAA